ACCAAGTGTGTGATGCAGGCTCTCACCCCCAGTCCTAGAGAGGCATGGGTGATTGGCGCAGGCAGTGGACTCTGGCTGTGGTCGGGGATCACGCGCTATGCCAGGCAGGGGGCCGACACCTGCCCGAGAGTGTGAAAGAAAAGCATGTCCTTATTCTCCAGGGTGAAAAGGTAGGTGAGTTTTGCAGCCCAGCTAAGAGCGCCCCACTATGTTGGCTGCAAAGACTCGAGGGAACCACTTTTTCTTGAACTCCTGAAGCAGGTGACTAGGCACTTTAGGAACTATCACCAGTCCTCAAGCCCCTGCTGCAGATCAATAAAAGTGCCTACTTGAGGGGCAGGGCTGTTTCAAGGATCACAAATCTGCCCGTTCACAGCTGAAGCAGTTGAAGTTAAACTTCAGATGTTGGCCTTGTTGTACTGTGGTAGTGAGGGCTAACGCTGTTGAGATGGGTGCCCACAAGTCTATACAGGGGTGTATGGCACTCAGAGTCTGCAGACCCCTGATAGCTGTGACCAGCAAAGGAGTTGTGTCGACCCTGTGTTCCTGGCCTAGGGGAGCCAACAGCTTATTTGTTCCCTCTTCAAGTCCAGGAGAATGGGTCAGGGTGCCTTTTGGGATCTATTTCCAGCTCAGTGGACTCCTGGTGCAGAGCGGGGAGGGAAGCGGTAAAAGGAAGAGAGGTTTTTTTCCCAAATCCAGCGTAGAGCGCAGAGATAGGAGGTAAAAGGGAGAGAGGTTTTTCCCAAATGGGCTTTTTTTTTTTTGGCTTTAATGTTTCTGGAAATCAGAGCATTGGTTATCATACTGTTTTTGGTTTTGGTTAGCTATGTAATGCATGAGTTTGTTGTATTAGATTATTTTAACACTGATATATTACATACACAGAAAGAACAAGCTGAACTTTATTATAAGGAAATCAAAGGAAACATTCTGGAGTCTAGTATCTTGTATTTTATATTTTAGGAAGATATAATTTAAAATAAAATTTACTGGTATATAAGGTTTTAAAAATTATTAAAATATTTGGATAGAATTATAGAGTAAAAAGATGGGTTCTGAGCTGACATTGAAGATGCTGGATGGTGATTCAGTGGTCGTGACAGACTGGCTGGATTGTAGAATTTAAACTGCAGATTAGTGATTGCCAGAAACTATGAAAAAATTATTTTATTAAAAAAATTTTAAATCATTTTACCTGTCATTTACACTAGTTATTTTATTACACACTTTATAAACATCATTTTATCTATTCCCCATAATAACTGTCAGGTAGGTTTGGTAATCCATTTTTACAGATAAAAAAACTGGGGTCTAAAAAGCTTAACTAACTACCAGTCACAGTGCCAGAAGTGCTACAGCAGGTCTTTCTGTCTTCAAAGTACAGGTTTTGATTCACTCTTTTACACTGTACTCAGTGTAGTTGTGCTGTCGTTCTAGAGCTTGACCAAGCAGGAATTCTGGCAGCTGGTGCAGCAGAACTATGGCCCGGAGCTAGGCTTCAGTGCTGGAGAAATGGAAAAGCTGTCACTGTTGATCGAGGAGAATGCGCAGCCAAGGTACAGCAAAGCGCTTTTAATGAACACAGACTTGTTTTAGTCACTACTAATTCAGAATTTCTGTTAATTCACCCTTGGGTGAAATTTACCTCTTTGTTCTCTGTGGTAGAATGGAATGAAAGGTGGGAACAGGGAACAGTTTGATAAACAGGTAAGCAAATAAAAGACATATAAGGAGTCCTGATGGCGTGATGGTTAAGAGCTTGGCTGCTAACCAAAAGGTTGGCAGTTCAAATCCACGAGCCGTTCCTTGGAAACCTACGGGGCAGTTCTGCTCTGTCCTATAGGGTCACTATGAGTCCAAATCGACTCGACGGCAGCGGGTTAAGGAAATATTAATTATGTGGCTGTGTTACCTAGGATTTGCTTGTTGTTGTTAGTTGCTGTCAAGTTGATTCCGATTCATGATGACCCCAAGTGTGCAGTATAGAACTGCACTCCATAGGTTTTCAAGGCTGTGACCTTTTGGAAGCAGTTCGCCAGGACTTTCTTCAAAGGCATCTCTGGGTGAGTTTGAACCTCCAACCTTTTGGTTAGTAGTACAACGTTTATAGCTTGGTTTTAGTAAACCTTTTTTTTTTTTTTGAGATTTTTTTTTTATTGTACTTTATTTTTTTTTCCATCTTTTATTTTTTTATTGTACTTTAGGTGAAGGTTTACAGAACACATAGTTTCTGATTAAACAGTCAGTACACATATTGTTTTATGACATTAG